TACAAACAAGAGCTGTCAGTAGGACAGCAACGCTCGACTATTCTTAGTGCTTGATAGTAAAAAAAAGCCTTGATTAAAAGGTAAAATTTTCTCAGTAAAGAAAAAGGCAAATTTTTTCTTAAATCCATATAACAGTTATAGGCCTTGGAGAGAGTCCTATTATGCTCTCAAAGAAGAGTATAAAATTTCAACATGTTTCAAACCCTTATGTCAATGAACTTTGAAAATATTTGAGGTATTACAAAAACTTTAACGTAAATTCTAAGTCAAAAAAGGGGCATAATTCTGTCAAAATGCTTGATAGAGTTACCTCCTCCTGTCTACAGGTTGGGGTCATGATGGTGAACAAGTGTGCAAAGTTTCAAAGCCATATGTCAATGGACTTTGAAAATATTTGAGGTATTACAAAAACTTTAACATAAGTGGTTACGCTGACGCGGACGCAGATGCCAACGCTCGGGTGACTACAATAGCTCTACTTATTCTTATCGAATAGTCGAGCTAAAAATTGTAAACGTGGGAGCCTTACTTGACACAATAATAAACAGTACAAAAAACAATTGGTGTGAACACAAGATACATGTAAGTTGTTATGCTGTTTACATATATATGGATGTCAGCAAAATGTTGCATGTATTTAAATTCAAATTAAGATTTTCTTCCTTTCTTGTGCAATGTACAAAGTTTTATTTATCATTATAATAATCACTTATACTGCTTAACAATATACATAATTAGATTAAAGATGATAGGAAAATATGAGACAAAAGACCTCTAATTACATAACATTGAGTACTCTTCTTTCTTCAGCTTGCCTGTAACACAAAACCAGTACAAACCTGTTTAAATTTTGGCATCTTCCTTCTTTTTTTAACTCTTCTGCTTCTCTTCTCATTTCCTGGGCAGAGGATAAACCTGCCCTTTTTCCAGACAGGGTTTTATCAGTCTTTGACTTTATTGCACTTTCATTACCATTTCCATTTTTATTTTGATGCTGATCGTCGTTTGTACAGACTGATCAGATCCTGTTACCAGTTTTCTTTCTTCTAGGAGGTGATTGGTCACTATCAGAATCATTCCTCCTACTTCTAGGAGGTGATTGGTCACTATCAGAATCATGTCTCCTCCTCCTAGGAGGTGATTGGTCACTATCAGAATCATTCCTCCTTCTTCTAGGAGTGATTGGTCACTATCAGAATCATGTTTCCGCCTCCTTGGAGGTGATTGGTCACTTTCAGAATCATGCCTCCGCTTCTTTGGAGGCGATTGATCACTGTCAGAATCGTGCCTTTGCCTTCTAGGTGATTGGTCACTATCACTCTTTGACTTTGATTTATTGCTCGTATTTTCACCTGTTTTTCTCTTTCTTTCAATACTTATACTAGAGTTTTTTTTATGTTTCCTTGGTGGTGATTGGTCAGAATCTGAATCATGTCTTTTTTCTTGGTATTGATTGATCAGAATCTGAACCATGCCTTTGTCTTCTTCTTGGTGATTGGTCAGAATCTGAATCATGCCTTTGTCTTCTTCTTGGGGATTGGTCAGAATCTGAATCATGTCTATTTTCTTCATCTGAAAATCAACAATAAAAAAAAACTTACATATTTCAAAATACATATTCTTGGAAATTTCTCCAATTTCACAAAATTCAAGGTTTTGATTAACATGTAACAGAGTATTTTTCATCGGCAACAATTGCAGTGACATGCTGATTTATTCTTTATGCTACACACCAAAGTATAAATTTTACTTTTCACCTTTAGATGTTGACAAAGACCGAGATTAATACTTGCCTTTCAACCTATTTCATGTTAAAATGACATCTGTTATGATTAAATCTAAAAGGATTTTTGTTCTGAATTAAAGGTGGTGCAACTTAAACTTGACCTCTCTAAACCTTTACAAGCTTTGGTCACATAAATCATACATGTCTGTATCTCTATCAAGCATTTTAAAAAATCAAGACTTTGAAACCTTTGCCAAGAACTTTCCATGCTCCTGATTTTCTGTATGCCTCTAACTGTTTCACAATCTCTGGTCTCTCATCTACAAAAATCAGCAACTTGAGGATCATTATCACCAACATCCTCTTCCAATGTGTTAGCTAAATTCTCTGGCAATAAGCTGCTGAAGTCAACATCATCATCAACAATTCTTGATCTAAGAAGTTAAAAATAAAACATTGCTAAATTGTATGAACCATGATATTGAATTTGCTCTATTTCTTGAATTATAAAGCTATATTCATATATTTATGAAGGAAAGAAATGAAGAAAATTCTCTAAAGCCTTAGTGACTTTCAACTTATTCAATTTCATAAGTTACGAGGTTCATGCACATGTTCACATATATATCAGATAAACACTTATTTTTGGCTTAATTACTGGCTCTTAAATAATAAGAGCAAACCAATATTACTTGGGCTGTTTAGCATGAAAATCAATGCTACATTAATAGTTCTTTTGTCAGTAGCAGTGACCTAGGCAGCCTTGACCTAAGTTATATGGGGAATTCATATGCTCTGCGGTCCTAGAATTTGGCTTGCCCAGCTATAGACTACAGGTGTATATTTAAAAAGAAATCAAATAAAAACAATACACCATCCGATAAATCCAACAAGGTGTTGACAAAAATATATACTAAATATAGTGATTTTTTTGTAAATTGCCAAATCTTTGGAAATAGATTAGTCCTATAACATATGATGTTTCCGTTAGTACTACATACACTCCAACGTCTTATCGACTTCTTCTTTAGCAAAACATGCAGCGATTTTGAAGCGCTATATAAACCGTCGTAATTTTCTACAAAAACAATATTTTGAGTCAAAAGATATGCAGACAGTAAATTTAAACATTTTTGCATCAATGTGCAGCAAAAAAATAAATGACTCACTTTGAATGTAAATAAATCCAATGCAATACAATTTATACGGGGAAGTCAAAGACAGGGCCCGCAAAGCGGGTCCGGGCTATGGCTTGCTCGGCTATAGACTTATTATTATATTAGACTACACGTGTATATTTAAAAGAAAATCAAATAAAAACAATTAAAAAAATATAGTATCAATGAAATTTTCAGTGTCAGTTCTAGTCGGGCGCCGCCATTTACAATGTAACTCAATGATAATAGGCGGAGTATTCCGATAACGGAGCAAATCTCAACTTTTCGGATCAATAATAATCGTCGTGTCTTCCGAGTGAAAACGGAAGCGGTGCATGTAATATCCCCGTCCTGCCTCTTTCCGATCAGCTAACAGATTTTTCAACAATAACTGACAGTGAAATTATATAAAAAAATTCTCTTTCAATTCTGCGAATATTATCATTTCAGCTAATAAATGCACCAACTTTTTAAAATTTTACTTGAACTATTACTATGAATCGAGGACAAATCATTACTGACCCATTTTCCAGTTCTTCAAAATTTCACAACCACTTTTCAATCAGTTAACAAAATATAAACTGTACCACATAAAAATTGTCATACAATGTTAAAATATAATTAGTTCTGTTTTTTTGAGAAATTTTGACAAACTCAACTTCATATAAATGATAATAAACAATTTTAACCTAATTAAAATGCCATTTTTCAATCTAGATATCTATTTGCAGTGGTAAAGCTGTCACAATTGGGGTATGGATGTACATTTCAATTTGCATAACAGAAAAAGCACGTTCTTGTGAAATTTTTAGGATCTTAGGGTCTATATGACCCCATTCTAGTGACTGCTTACTGAAAAGTTATCACAGAGAATGTTTTACCTTAGTTAAGTGACTGTTACTTTACTGATGTATTACCTTCCAATTAAGAACTGTATGGTAAAATATGTACATATTAAAATTACAGCTTTTGAAGTGCAGTATACATTATGACTTCATGATATTGAAACAGTTGTCCAACTTAATATCCATTTCTGCAGACTGACAAAAAACTGAGTCTGTAAATCAATTATTTTTAGAAAATTGTTGCGATTTGTAACTGGGTAAATAAAGGATTAGTGGAAAACACACATTTTACATATTTTGAACTAAAATGCTAGCATTTTCTTTTTTATCGCCATAATTGACATTGCTGCTGATAAATTTAGTCAAGGTGAATACAAGATGTGCTTACAGTTTGGTTACATGACAAATAAAGTCAAAAATAAAAAATTTCTAGGGATGATTGAAAAGTGGTTGTGATTGAAAACTGGCAGTATGTGGATACCGAATGACACCTTTAAAACGGAAAGAATGAAAGGAATTTTTTTAACGACTTCCCCGTTCATAGGCTTTACCTAATTTCATATTACCACTTTCACCGCTATATACATTTGACCATTTTACCTGTATACATGTGGGCGGGTTTTGCTAAAGGAACTTATGAAGAAGTCGATAAGACGTTGGAGTGTATGTAGTACAAACGGAAACGTCTTATGTTATAGGATTAGAAATAGATCTACTTTTCCACATTTTGACCAACTAACCTAACGGATCACTATAAAATTTTCTTCAATAATTAATGAAAACTTTTATACTGTAGCATATAGCTGACAGCAGCTGTTATCTGTCACAGACAAACGACACTTTGACTGTTTGAAACGTTTATCCATACAAAATCACCAACATTAAAAGTGACAAATGTGAAATGACAGTGTTTTGGTGATTTGGTTAACAGTTATCTATATATTAAATAGTACCGAATTATTTTCGCCGGAGCAACTCCAGGTTTTTTCTTCCTCTTTTTCTTTTTTTCTTCTGCGTTGACAGATAAATACTTTTTCAAATATTCTTCCTTGCTGGAGGCTGCCATTTTGTCTTGTGGACCAGTAATTATACAAGGAATAATTATTGCAATAAGACTTTCTAACTAATGAAGCTTTTTAATTGTACCATTTTCAAAAATATTATTAAAATTTTAATTATTTTTTAAAGTTTTGTGTACCTTTTTATGTAGAATTTTTGTACCTCAAATATACAATTTTACCATGTAACTAATTGTTTCTCCCTTTCCCTGATCCTTTTCGGATGAATTCTTGATCTATCGTTGCGCAATAATTTTTGACACTAGGCTGACTATCCTTACCAATTTCACGTTTTAAAAATGAGTGGTCCACTAGATAAACTGCATGTTATTGTAGAATCTGGGAAAAGTAAACAAACTGTTGCAGCATTGGTAAGATAAAATGTTAAGCCTGTTATTTTGTCGATAAAATATTCGCCTCACTAACGATTCGCCCCAATTTGGTGACAATTGTAGAGACGATTTTTGACAGATTATATTGAATAAAGTTTTATTCATTTATTTGTAAAAAAAACTATATACATCTTAGACAAATAAGGGGAAATGAAGCATCTAAGAATAAAATTTCCTGGTGTCATTATGGGTAAGATAATAGACAAAATGAAATTAACAATACACTTATTGACAGTCTGTACATGAACTACGTAAATAACCGGAATCCGGGTCAGCTCGGCCCTAAAACGTACTCGGCCCCCGAGTCAGCTCGACCCTATTCCAACTCGGCATGGGTCAACTCGGCCAACTTTTGAATTATTAATATTTAGGTTTGTGTTGTTATTATTGTAATTAATTATAAAACACAGATTGTCAGTTTCAGAACTAGCAGCAGACAGGCTTTTCTTATCAGTAGAATTGCGAGTAAAAATAACCGATTGCGTATCTCACTGTATTTCTGACTCGTGGTAGGTTTAACTGTAAATTTAAATACTTTCAGTGTCAAACAATGTGTTGAAATATATACTGAGAGGGAGCTAAGATCACCAGCTTTTAATTGGTGTAACAAATTTTAAAATCGGTCATTTAATCGCCCCAAACTAGCGATTTAAACACGGCTAAATTTGCATTCTTTTGCAAGCGAAGGGAAACTAAGGGAAACAACTCTTGCTTTTTCACTCGATATATCTCGGTTATTTCGGTTAATTACGTAGTTCGACAGAGAAAGAGTTTATAAATATAAGACAAATAACAATTTTTTTTCTAAATATACTTAATTTCGGCAGAAGTACAATGTATACTTATATAATAATAAGATATTTCTTATTATTCATTTACCTTAACAAAGTTAACTAGCAAAGCAAACTTAATACGTTATATATATTTTGTAAAAAGTGGGCCGAGTTGACCCGTGCCGAGTTGGTATAGGGCCGAGTTGACTCTTTTCCAAATAACCGAGGTATGTCGGGTGAAAAAAAATAATAGTTTTTTCTATAATCTTCAAGTAAAATTGATATCTCTAATGGTAAAACAACACAAATTTAGCCGTGTTTAAACCGCTAGTTTGGCGCAATTTATTAATGTCCGTTTTTTAAATTTATTACACCAATGAAAAGCTTGTAATCTTAGCTTCATCTCAGCATATATTTTAACACATTGTTTCACACTAAAGGCATTTAAATTTAGGGTTAAACCTACCACAAGTCAGACCATTCTACATATGATTTATACAGTGATATACACAACTGGTTATCTTTACAGGGACTACCTTGGACTGAAAATTTAGGGAGAAGTGACTTCTCCCTTCAGAAAAAATAGGGAGAAGTTTTGAAATTTAGGGAGAAGTGATCATCAAATCGAGTTATATCATTGGATTTTTTTCTAATTTTATTTCACAAAATATACATGTACACCTTTATATGTACATGCATATAAAATATACATGTATATGGCATGGAAAATAAACAAATGTGTATTTGAAAATCGCTATGATGATATTTAATGAAGTATTTATAAGTTGCTCAATAAAGTTTATTTAAGCATTTGATTTACATCAACACAACATTTTTAAATTTTTTTTAGGTTCAACAGTTTCTGACTTCTTTAATTCATAATAATTATCCAAATTCTATCAATTTACATCAGTTTTAATGATGAATATTACTATCATAAATGTAATGGTGATAACAAACGTATATGGGATATAATATTGTAAGTCAAACAGGACATATATGGGAACTAGTAAATCAAACAGGACATATAGGGGAAATTGTAAATCAAACAAAACGTTTAGGTCAAACAAAACGTACAGGGGATATTGTAAATAAGACACAAATATACGTTTGAGGTAACTTAATTATCAATTAGATTGCTTTTTCATGTTTTTATCATCTGCTGCATTCATATCAGGGTCTTTCACAGCTTTAATTTACCGTATAATCAATGCGCTATTTTTAGCGATGTGGATTTCCAAGTGTGAATTCCAAATGTCCCTATGGCCACGCTTCAGCGCGTGTGCTAATTATGTCAGATTACACAATTAAATATGCCTCCAGGCAGTATTATCGAGTGGAGAAATATATATACATCTCAGACTTTTCAATAAGATTTTAGGGCGACTAGAATTTCGCTTTTCAGATCATATAGGGCGAAGTGAAAATATTTACGGCGAAGTTTTCGCCTGACTTCGCCCTAAACGCAGTCCATGTCTTTACTCGCAATTCTACTGATAAGAATAGCCTGTCGTCTGCTAGTTTGGAAACTGTCAATTGGTGTATTGCAAATATATTTCACATATTTCTGCAAGCATACCAGGAAAGTACAAGAGCTTCATTGGAAAAATATGTATCATTGAAATTAGGAAAAAAGTCTAGGAACAAGGTATATTATCTATATGATCTATATTAAAGTATTGAAAGATATAACGAAAAATTAGCAAATCAGCTAATATTCTCTCTATATAGCTATATTATCACATAGTGGAACTGTACTAAGTTTCTCGCAACTTACATGTAACTAGGTGCCATAATTTAACCTTTTTGTTTTGAATTTTAAAAAATTAAAAAAATTTCTACAAAGATTTGAAATAGAAAATATTCTAATATTAAACTGCTTTTAGGATCCGAGATGGATGGAACAAGTACAGTTTGTAAGTTATCAGCCTCCACCCAAAAATCTGTCAGACAAAGGGCAATATGAAGCTTGGTTAGAAAGGTTAAAGTTCATAGAGGATGATCTGCACTGGCTACTGCAGCTTCCACATGACAAATTCTGGTGTCAGGTATCTGCATTCGATATGTATTGTTTATATTTAATTATGATTTGCTCTATATTTTCATCTCATTCTAAATCAATATGATTCCCTGTAAGTTCAAGAAAATCAAATTTATTAGATGCATTGATTTACAGTAAAATCTTTACCACTGGTTATTGAGCTGTTTTGATATTGATATCCCTTAAACTTCATATGGGTGTAAATCTATTGCACAAAGTCATCAGTATAAAGGTTAATATTATGTATGATATAAAAATATCTCTCATATTACAGGCAATATTTGACGAGACACTGCATCGCTGTATAGACAGTTATCTACGGTTTGCTCCACGATCATACAATATACTAGCTGACTTCCCAGACAATGCTAGAGATAGACATAATCAAGTTCATAGACTTGTCTTCATGACATGCGTCCGTATGTCGACATATAAAGAATCCAAGGTTTGTCTGAAATATACAGTTATCCATTTGTATTAAATACATATAATTAAATAGTTCTTTTGTTATGAAGGTTTAGTGAAATGGTACACACTTAAAAGTGAACTTAATTTTCACACATATTAACTTAATGTTAGTTGATTTTGAAGCCAAGTTATGAAGTTGTAACCTAATTATGGAGTTGTAGCCTAGTTATGAAATTTTAGCCTAGTTATGAAGTTTTAACCTAATTATGAAGTTTTGGCCTAGTTTTGAAGTTGTAGCCTAGTTATGAAATTTTAGCCTAATCATGAAGTTGTAACCTGGTTATGAAGTGTAGAATAATTATGAAGTGTAGCCTAGTTATGAAGTGTAGAATAATTATGAAGTTGTAACCTAGTTATGAAGTGTAGAATAATTATGAAGTGTAGCCTAGTTTTGAAGTTGTAACAAGTTAATGATGTTATGGTGTTCAATTAAATGCACAATATTCAGTTAAAATGAAATTAAAACCTTCTGACAGAATTTGTTGAGAAAGTTGCTGTAGTCACAAACTTAAAGAAGTCCAGTTTAAAAATGAGCCATGTTTGCATATTTTAGAACATTGTATGTAATTTATGTAAATTATAAATATCTTAAAGTAGCTTCATGTACTTTGCTTGTTCAGTAAACATTGTTTTACAAATTAAAAGTGCTTGATAAATTTACTATAAAAATATCATGAAAGTAGAGATGTGATGTTTCAATGACTGTGCTATATTTTTATTTTCAGGAATGTTATATTACCCCAAGTGTATTTGGTGAGATACTTTATGAGAATTTTATATTTGACATTCCAAAGTTGTTAGACATATGTGTACTATATGGACAGGGTAATGGCCCTTTGTTGACCAAAATGATAGAAAACATCTTTACCAAGCAGCCAAAATACAACGAGGATCTGGAACAAACCATTGGTACACTGTCACAGGTTTGATATAAAATAGTTCTATTTATATTGTAATATATGTCTTTCACTTATACAAATGTATATGCTGTGATTGGTTGTGATTCAAGTAACACTGGCACTATTACGATCATATGACGACTTTTAAGTTTATCTGGTGGAAGAAAAACTCTGTGTCACTCGGTTTATTAGTTCTGGCACAAGAGTGCACCGGACTAGAACCACTGACCTTCCATAAGCTAGCTGCTTCACATAAGATAATCCAGAGTCCCTGTTGGTATTCAAACCTACAGCATTGGGGGGGGGGGGAGTAATTCCGAGTCAGCAGTCTTAACTATCTCTCTATGAATTTTATCATATATTGATATTTACTGATTCATGCATTGTAAAATATGTAGACCTTCTAATTTAAAGTATACAGTGCTGTTTATTGCAATGTCATTTAAAGAAAAATTATGACTCATTTGAGTGTGCCTATGTTAAATAGAAATTCATTAATTAGTTCTGTATAACATTGGAATGATATAATTATTGCTTAGTTTGTCTACATTTTCTTGGTACCTCTGCTTTGGCATTTCACTTTCAAATGATGCAAAGACATTTCTGGAAGGGCTCTACTTAGAATTTATAGAAAATAAGTGAGCAGTCTTTGTTTTACACTTCAGGTATTTGACAGTGTCATGGGTAAATGTGGAATCAGGTTTGACAGCGGCTCCCACTCTCCACAGAAACTTAGTGACCATAGCAACATGAAACAGTCGTTGGTTACTATGAGTGTGACAGAGTATACAGACATTGTGTTGTATCTGTCAGATATAGGAATGACCTTGACCTCATTTTTAGAAGTTTATCCAACAGCTTGCCAAGCGTTTCATGAAAGTGATTTTCTGGTGAGGTAGATATTCATGAGCCGTTTTGTCCTCACATAAGCAAAAGATACAAAGTGGAATTTTTAAGAGTGTTGTTTTGTTGCCATAGGGTTTAACCTTCATAAATCATACCAACACATTTTCTTTGAAATATTGTGTTTAATTTTTGTATGTTTGCTATAAAGTGTTTGGCCAGAAACTGCATTTTATCATGTCATTACATTGATTTCTGATGATAAAGTGCATGCCTGATAAACCTAGCTTTATCAGTCACCCCAAGCTTTATCAGACACCTTATCAAAAATATGCGAAATTTGCGAAATGAAATAAAAAGAATGGAATATATTTTCCTGCTACTGGGTTGGAAATATTTAACTGATAAACTTTGAATCGAATAGAAATTTTGAATATGAACGCGTCACTTACAATTAACTAAAACATTCGGGACTATTTCTTTTTGATTTGACATTTCACATATTATTGCGTGCTGTCTGAACACGAGAGGTTCTGGATAGGGTTTTGCTTCAATTAAAATAAAAAAAAATCAATCAACAATTGAAAACATGATAAATAGAATACCAAACAAGTGTCTAATATTATAAAATTTATCAGGCTCGGCACGAAAAAAAATGAAGAGCTCGGCACAGCCTCGCCCTTCTTTTTTTTCTTAGCCTTGCCTGATAAATTTTATAATATCAGACACTAGCATGGTATTCTCTATATCCCATTTCAGGACAGCTTACATAATTATACAAGGCCTTTTTAGAGTTACTAGAGCTTAGTGTAGAATGAAAAAGTAAAATGTCTTTATGATTAAAGATGACTGTTTGTGTTTTATAGGTTACCATCATTTTATGAAGCAGTTATACCAGAAGCTTTGTCAGCTTTGAAACTGAGAGACATTGAGACAAAGTAAGTTATAAAGAAGATCAAGGTATGATAATATTTATGGACAACAAACTCAGTTACTTAAATTCAGAAGTCATTGCAATTACCATTCTTTTGTAAAAAGAGTCTTTTTCAGAATAAATAATTTTTCAAATAAGCTTTAATAGAAGAAATGATTTTATATTTACATGTATAGTTAATATTTCGGTCATTATATATATATTTTCTTGTCTGGCCAACCCTGTATAATCAAATCTATTTAGTTTAAACATCTTTATTTTAGCTTGATTGCAATATAAGTTCTTGCAACTTATATTAATCACTTTCAAATCTGCTTCCTAGAACAAACCAGTCATATTAGGAAACATTATCGTGACTTGAGTCAGGCTAGAACCCATGATCCCTGGGTTGACAGGCAGACACCTTAACCACTAGGCAACTGTTCCCATTTATTCTATGTCAGGAAACCCAACTTTTTATTGTAGGTATTATACACAAAAAATTTATCATTTACAGAGAAAAGCTTTTACTGAAGCAGTATTTAATCCAGGCCAAGAAATGCCTTTTGACTGTCTTCCAAACCATAATGGCCCAGTGCTGTATACAGCCTATATTAGAGAAAAGGTAAGTTCAGCTATAAACATACATGTAGAAACTTTGACTATATTAAATTTATAATATAATATTATGTTTTTGATGTAAATGGACAGTTGTATTTTTATATGTTAAGTTTTTCTCAAGCTTATGCTCATTGCTTGAAACCTTGTGTTAGTAAGAATTGCATTTAGAATTGAATAATATATGTCTTAAATTTAAAAAATGTCTAATTTCTTTAGAGATTAGACAGCATTTAACTTAGCAAGAACATTGTTTTTAATGTGGTGAAGCAGTCATGTACACATATATTTATAATAATGCATGTATGGTTTGTAACGTTGCTTTTCATTGGATAATTGTTACGACAAATAGATCAAAAACATCACAAATTTAGATATCAATACATGTTACGCTTTATTAGCTTCGTCAGTTGATACATAAAGGAAATGATGTAAACGTACTAAACAGACGTCTATGTTAATAGACGTCACATTTGGCGCATAAAAGAAACATTATTATATTACAATAAGATAAAACGTCTATTATTGTTTTTATACAATAAAACATGTGCATATGTATGTATAAACGTAATTGTATCATAGTTTGGAGACCTTTCTGTTGAAAATGTGTCGGGGTTAAATCGTATACATATACATGCACAGTGCGTTAACTGGAGTGCGGGTATTAGTTACCCGCACTCCAGAGCATGCCCATTGATTGGCTCATTTTTGCTGGGGTTTACATATTGTGATGGCAGAGAAAGAGAAAGCGACAGAAATGTCATATTCAGATGTTCGTTCATTGGTTCATTTTTGCCGGGGTTTCATATTGTGACAACAGGGAACGTGCTTTTATGTTTGACTATGATACAAAAGAGAAAGAACACCAAAATACTCGGCAATTTGATTAATACTCGGGGGCTACGCGCCCTCGTACAAATCAGATAGCCTCGTGTTTCGGTGCTCTTTCTATTACTTATTTTACATAGCATATATAATTTTCGAAAAGAATTACATAAAATAACCGGATCAAAAGATACATATATTTTCATAGAGAAACTAGGCTAGTAAATAATTACAACATGTATGAAAAGGAGAGTTACTTATGTGGAAGTTTAGAATTTCAAAAAAAAAATTATTGTGACATTTATATACATGACTGCTGTCATTTTATGAAGAAATCTCTTTTTTTTTCTCTTAAAAAAGGAAGTTTGCTGTATTATAAATTTGTATAAATCTTCTGGATAGGTTATATAACCATACATGAACGGTTTTTTGCAATATAACCATGGCCCAACAGCTTGGGTTATATTTCCTGTTTATATAGGGCCATTTAACCTGTCAAAAATCTTTATAACTAATATTATTTTGTTTGTAATTTACAGGGAACCAGTTATAGACTTTGTAGATGACTATCTTCATATTGTATCATCTGTATTAGCAGAACGAAGGTAGAAAACCACATCCTATATAATTTCCTTAACCTTTTGTAGGACTATTATTTCTGAGAATACTTTAGATGCATACTTTATGAAGAAAACATACATGAACATTCATTCTGGGTTTGATTATACATGTATATACTGAAAGGATGATCCTAATGAAATGTTGAAATGTTTAGGTTCAGAGGGTCATTCATCATTCATTCTTAGGCTGAGTGGTTAAGGTTGTTGACTTTAAACCACTTGCCCCTCAAATCCCGACAGGGACTTTGGATTTTTACATGTGAGGAAGCTATCCAGCTAGCTTATAGAACGTCAACTCAGGTGCCCGTTCATGCCTGAAAAATGCACAGAAGGGCACCTGAGGTCTTCCTCCACCAGTAAAGCTGGAATGTCGCCAAATGACCTATACTGTGTCAGTGTGACTTAAAACCCAAAACAAACAAAATCATCATTAAAGTTATTTCCTTTATTGTATATTGTGTGGCTCAATACATTTACACTCAACCAATAGCCCCTACAAATTCTACATCATTCTTTCTTGTGAGAAAGCTATAAAGCTAGCTTAAGGAAGGTTGGTGGTTGTTCTCATGTCTGAAAATAATGAATTGAAGGTAGGGCTGTCATCGATAGAGACGATATCGATGTATCGTTGATATCTTTCTGTCGATCAATAATTGATACACATTTGTAAAAATCGATAATTTTGGTTAATTATTTTGATGTTTATGAATTATGAAAATTCAACCAAAACATATACAAAAGCAGGTGGCCATGTCTAACACCAAGCTGTTGTTATATAATGGATACATTTCATAGCAGTGATGACAAAAAATGGTTAGGAAAAAGTCCTACAAAGGATATTTGTAAACAGGACACAACATATTTGTATGAAGAGAACATATATTTTAGTCAGACTTCCCGAAAGTTAAAAAAAACTGTCAGACATTGGGTCTGACAAACCAAGAAAATCTGTCGGACCGAAACGAAATCTGTCAGACCGAATAAAATTTATCAAAATCAAAGAAAAACTTTTGTTTGTATTTCTAAGACACTTTTTGGTTTTAATTTTTTTGCCGTAAAAATCGGCACATTCTGTACAGCGCATTTTCATCTCCTCCCTGTCATACACCAACAAGTCATGGTCCTGCTTCCATTTTTCATTAAATTTTGTCTCAGGTCTATTCTTTTCATCCTTTAATTGCTGTTGAGTGTTCTGCGCGCTCCTCTGACGTAGATTTTTGTTTTTTCCCAGGTTTGGCACCTTTAGCGATGCCATTTTGTATACATGCGGCTTGGATAAAAGCCGGACAGTCGGACCGATCCGGAATAAAAAATTGTCGGACCTGAGCAAAATTTATCGGACATGTCCGTCGGACCGACCTATTTCGTGAAGTCTGTTTACTAGGAATGAAAGTTAATTATATACAAGAAATAAGGAGTACATATCGATATTTCTATCGATCGGTGTATCGCTGATATTTGTAATCCAATATCGATGTATCGTCAATATACTTTGCTATAAATCAATGACAGATCTAACTGAAGGGCATTTGATTTACAGTAAAGCTTGGAAATCACCTTATGATATATTTAAATAGTATTCAACCAGACCAAAAAAAAAAACAGAACAAAACAGGCACACAAAGTCTCACAAAATTTGAAAAGTCAGTTTAATTGTTGTTGAAGATAGATGCATGTTTGTATTTGTATTTTTGCAGATTTTTGGCAGATTATGAGAGTTTACACAGTTTCCAAGGTGACATTGAGATTTTGTCACAGGCAGCATGTGGAATGTATCCTTGCACCATAATACTTGTAGTACTTGCTTACCAAACACAATAATTTTTCACTCAGAACATTCTTTTTTATCATTTTGATGACAATATAAATTGTTCACTATTAGTTAAAGATGTTGTACCTTAAAAGTATTGGGCATTGTAGAAAGTTATATAAACAAGTCTGATTTCGTAGTTTAAAACCAATTTCTTTTGAATGAAACACAGTGTTTTAAGTATGATAACAAATTTTGAAAATTTTGTCTTTATAAACTTCTGTCTTTATAAATTGCTGAAATGATATGTCTGATTATACATATCGGATTTGAGAGAATGCATATTCTATTCACTTAGGAGTAATACTCTTGCTAAATATTTGCTGATATAACCTTGACATTAAATATTGGCTGATATAACCTTGACATTAAATATTGGCTGATATAACCTTGATATTAAATATTGGCTGATATAACCTTGATATTAAATATTGGCTGATATAACCTTCACATTCAATACTGGCTGATATAACCTTGACATTAAATATTTGCTGATATAACCTTGACATTAAATATTGGCTGATATAACCTTGACATTAAATATTGGCTGATATAACCTTGACATTAGAGCAGTGATGAGACTCGCCTTCAGTATATACAAGATGCTGTTAACAGTGCATTCTCTACTTATGGAAAGAGGAAGTCCCCAAAAGGTGCAATGAAGAGAGGTGGAAGGAGAAGCCCTGATGGGTCGTCTGGTGAAATGGTTGGTGCAGTAGGTGGAGGAAACACATCATCTGTGCAGCAGACGGCTACAAGTCTGCCGGCAGATATATACCAAGTAGAAGATTCTGTAAGCTTTATTTACATTGTTTTAGAGGGCTGATCACTACTAGCTTGGCTCAGTAGGACCGGATTTGTAAACGATTGTTTGCTAGATCAATCCTTGGGTGAGGCGAAATTTCTCAGTGCTTGATCTCTTACATTGATTCTAATGGTCAATTGTCTCTCAAAGCTGATTCAGATGGGATGGGTAGTCAGTCCCATGCAGAGAAATTGATTTTATCCTGCTACTGTCAATATCATCAGTTGGATAAAGCCTTGCCAAATTAACTTATCTATCTCCAGTCATTACGTCATATGATGACGTCAACTGTTTAGCAGCAAAACAAAACTACATATAGATGCTATTTTATCGGGGAAAAGTAAGAATGAAACCAAACCATTTAATTATTCTAAAAACATGATTTAAAGTAGGATAAATCAAATACATGGTTGATGTCAAGATGGAGAAGGTTTACCCGGTACACTGCGGTAAGCTCGCCAAGATACACTTTTTCACTCACAGGATAAACTTTTTTGCATCCCGACATCAACCATGTATTCTCTATATTACTGGTTAATTATCCAGGAAAGCCTGGTATATGGACCAACTGTCAAGAAATGACCTAAATTGTGTTGAAGTCATTGTAATAACTAGATAAACAAACAGACAGGTTTCAGTTCATTTAAAGATTTTAATATCAGTATACAATTATGAGTAGATGAGCCATTGCTCTTAATGAAGAATGCGCTTCCACAGTTCTGTATTGAAATGCTTTTATCAATGCATAAGGGTTCAGGATCAGCACCTTTACTAGAGTGAAACATTTTATATTGGACTTGTTTTTCTATCAAGTTTTATTATGGACTAACAAACAGGAAAGATGTTGTCAAATTTGTGTTGTGAATGTTCTCTTGGGATATTATATATAATCTTCATATATAAACCCATTTAAAGTCTACATTTTAAGCTCGACAATTCGATAAGAATAAGTAGAAATATTGTAATCACCCGAGTGTCGGTGTTGGCGTCAGCGTAACCACTTATGTTAAAGTTTTTGTAATACCTTAAAATTTTTTCAAAGTTCATTGACATATGGCTTTGAAACTTTGCACACTTGTTCACCATCATGACCCAAACCTGTAGACAGGAGGATATAACTCTATCAAGCATTTTGACAGAATTATGCCCCTTTTTCGACTTAGATTTTACGTAAAAGTTTTTGTAATACCTCAAATATTTTCCAAGTCCATTGGCATATGGGCCTGAAACAAGTTGAAATTTTATATTCTTCTTTGAGAGCATAATAGGACTTTCTCAAGGCCTATAACTGTAACATGGATTTAAGAAAAATTTTGTCCTTTTGTTAACTTAGAAAATTTTACATTTTAATTAAGGCTCTTTTACTATCAAGCACTAAGAATAGTCGAGCGTTGCTGTCCTATGGACAGCTCTCATACCATTTGTTTCTGAGATTCATTATGCTTGATATAAATATCCTTATGTCCACATTTCAAACAGGAGACACAGTAAGAAAGTTTTTATTTTGTTTTGTACAGGATATTGTAGGAGCATGTGCCCCACAAGTGACAGGTGTGGAGCTGGACTCTATGGTGTCCTCTGTGAAAGATTTATTACCAGACCTTGGTGAGGGATTCATTGAGGTAAGAGAGAGCTATTGTATTTACACTGGCGTTGCCATAGCCCTCACACTTTGGTTATTTTTTGAGTGTGCAAGTTGGTATCTCCAAAAGTACTGAATTGAATGGGTTGAAACTTCACACACTTGTTCTCAGTTATTATCTTATATCATGGAAACAAGTCTTATAAATCTGAGTTACATGCCCTTTTTCTAACTGTTTGCACTGATAATAGTAGAGTGTGCTGTCTTAGAACAGTTCTTGTCTTAAAATAAGTAACTGAAGATTTTTAATATCCATGCGTAATGACCTATTAGTGATTGTAATTAAAATCTAGTTATTCATTGTCTTTAAGCTTTGTTTAGGGCATCTTTTTTTGATATCTGTTATATCTATGTCTATCAGACCTTGTATTGTTCTCAAGTGAATTATTTGGTCATCTTGTTGTAACATGGAAGTTAGATATATCAAAACACTAAATTAAATCATCGTAAAATTTTGACTTAATAATATCTCTAGATATTGTGATGGCTAAAGCAATTTTATGAAGTATTGTTTTATTTCAGAAAATATATTGTTTGATTATTTGCAGGTATGTTTAGAAGAGCTGAACTATGACATAGAGAGAGTGATAAATGCTGTATTAGAGGATAGACTGCCGCAATCACTCCAGGAGGTTGATAGACAAATACCAAGGTATTAAATGAATATTTATAAAAAATATTTTGTACCCTCTTACTGTAAAATAAACACAACTTTCCAAATAATGTTGTACTGATAAAAACTTAAGATATAGTTTCTACATTAAAGCAAATTTCAAATTATTTATTCCTGTTTAGAAATATTATGATGATAACTGTCTTTCGATCTTTTTGCCAAAGATTGTTATAAAAGCCATATTTGATTTACACAATGTAGTTTTTATAATACATTAGTCAACTTCTTTGACTCTGTCAATTTTAATGTAAAAATGTTTATCTTTTCAAATATATTCAGAAAGAAGCGTGCAGTTACCCCACCCAGTTTGTTACATGAAAGGAAGAATATTTATGACTTTGATGAGTTTGATGTTTTCCACAGAGATGATATAGACAAACAGAAAATACGTAAAGGCAAACTGTAAGTAATAACTCACATTATTACTGTCTATGTTTTCATATATTTTTATGGTAACTTGTATTATTACCATCTTACTTTTTCCATATAATGTTTTGCACCTGGTTCATTGGCAATTTCATGTCTGCTCTGTATCTTTTGAACTGATGGAAAGAAATAGAAACTGTGTGGCAGAAATGTCAACCATAACAAGATGATGTGCAAACGACAAGTTTTGGTTCCTCAGTATGAATTTCAAATTTTTCTGTCCTCTCTTTTGAACCAATGAAAGGAACTTAAGAATGCTGGTTTGCACTCCCTCAGATCAATTTTAAGGTTACACTTAGTCATTCAAATCCTTATTTTTTAGCATATATCAAGACCAGAATACCCACACAGATCAAGTTTTGTTTTGTTTTTCAAAACAGAGTTGAAACTGTTTGCTTGTCTGTCAATACCACTTCGTATACTTTCTGGCTATTGTCAAATGTTCCCAGGTTGGTTTGCCAAACTTTCAGCAGGTGTCATCCATATTCCTGTGCTTTTATGACAAAGATGTGGGAAGTTATGTTATTGACATTCATGAAACATAAAATATCTGTCCATTTTTGTAAATAATTTGTTTTTCTCCGCCACCGTGTTTCCTGTATGTGTAAAAAAGGCAATATATTTGTTATATTTTCAGATTATAATTTCATTTTGATATATGTATTCATAATTTTGTGTGCAATGTTTATAAGGTTGTCAAATGTCATTTTGAGTGTAAAATTAGTTATGCATCTTATCATGACATGGAACAAATATGTTTTGATACATTTTCAATAAATTCAGTTAATTCACACAAACCTCAGTTAACCTTTTCATTTCAGAAATGACATTTGATTACATAATATTGGTTCATATAAAATTAAAACATAAAAGATTTTTAACAGATACTAAATCCATAAATTTCAATTTTGTATATCCAGTATTTTTATATTTTGTGTAATAATGACATTTACACATTTGTTATGACATCTGTGGAAGGTCAAGGTCATTAAATGACAATTTTTCCACACAAAAGTGATGCATTAGCACATCAGGTGAAATTTTAGTTTTAACAGCATATAAAGGATATCAAGTGCATTATAGTGCTCTGAAATGGTACAGAACAACCCCAGAATTTTTCCTGATTAACGGTAGTAAAATAACAGTAAACAAGTGTAATGATATTCACATTTGTACTGATGTGACATACAACAAAATAGATCTTATGTTGATTGATTATGCTTGAAACCTTATAACCTGCAGTTGTTTTAAAGCTTACAAAGTGTAAAAATTCTCTTATTCTTCATTTTTCATGACCCTGCATATGTCATACAAATGAGGTTAAAGGTCAATCATGAATGGCATAAAGGTCAAGGTGACTGACACTAAAAAATCAGTGTCCTATGTTTATAGGTTTTTTAGCTGTGACAAAGCAGCGTTGGGGAGCAATTATTGCAGCCTTCAATGTTATGTTTCATTTAATTGTATCAATTTGAGGATAAATATATGTATTACAGTATATTAGGATAAGAAAGGTCAAATTAAGAAAATACAGAGATATAACAAACTGAGCCTATGATGCTAAATGTCTTTCTATTATCCCATTCAGTTATTTTTAACTTTAATTAAAAAAATGTATATGGTGTTAAGAACATTTAGATATATTTATTATTTAAAGCATTGCTTTATTAAGGGTTTTCACTGTACATATTTTGATGTTTTGCAGTTCTTGTCTTTATTGGGTGGTTAAGTAAGAATATTGAACCCTTGATAGGCTTAGGAAAAACAGTTGTGTATTAGAAATAAAGCAATAAAGCATTAAAAATAAACTTTTTTTTCCTTTTCTAGGGACAAAACAGAAAATGTCAGCATAGGTGACCAAGCTGAATTAAAGGATATAAAGTCTGCCATTAGTAAAGATTATGGTGTAATACATGAGGTCGTGATAGACGATGGCACGGTGACATATACACGTGACATGTATGATGACGAGTATGATGACACATATGATGTGAATAACGTAGGGGCAGATGATGCTGACTCTGCTGATGAACTTTCAACTGTCAGGTAATTGTTTGCACTTTTTTCTTTTTTACCCTTTTTAAACTTTTAAATTTTTTGTAACAAGTTTGGGAACAAAAGGTTTAAAAAATTTTGTTTAACTGAAAACAGTACTTTTAAATAGGTCTTAGGCGCAACTTTTAGTTTACTGGTGGAGGGATAATATTGTTGCCACTCTGAACGTTATTTGCATTTCCTAGTTGGTAATTTTGTAGAAATTGAACATTAATCTTGCTGGATAACTTCCTATCATGATATTTTAATATATACTTGAACAGATAAGTATTGTAGTTTTAACATGCTCTTCAGGATTGTATATTGCTAAAAAGTAAGCTTTTGTGGCCTGATGATAGTAATCCATTGTATTTTCCTTCAACAATTTTTCAAATAACATCTTCTTCCAAGCCACTCAAATTATTTTGAGATTAAGTGGTCTTCTTAAAAGATATATACATGTAAAATGCTTCCAGCCTAATGGTCAAGTGAGTCATAGAAGGTAGAAATACATGGAGAATGTAATCTCTTATCTTTATAAAAAGTCATAAACTCCAGGGCACAAAGTTTATATATTTGGTATTGACTTACAGTTGAAAGGTTTTAAAATCCCTCTCCTCTGAAATTAAAAAGCCCAAAGCTAAGATATTTGGTATGTAGTATTTTCTAGTAGGACTCCTATGGATGAAAACAATTTTTTTATTTTATATTCTCAGGTGTGCCATATCGGCACACTTAGAGCTCTTGTTTTATAAAAAAAATTAACTAAATTAAACAAATTACATGACTAATACATAATTATAAAACATTAATTTTTGGTAACTTAGTTTGTAAATCTAGTACATTGTATTTAAGGACATGAACCTTTTCACTTTTAACCTTTCACTTATAACTAAAGTCACAGCATAACATTACCCTAAGTTATATTTTCTTGTCTAGATATAATACTTTTCCTCGCCTGATTAATGATATCTTTAGAAAGTGATAAATTGCATGCACAATATGAAACAAACTGCTATTATGTTTTAGATGCACTGTTGACAAATTGAAAAGATAACCAGTTTCCTTGTAGAATCTTTAAAGGGTTGAATAAAAGTAAATGGAAAGCCTCAAAGGTTCATTGTTGCTTATTTATTGCAATTTGGTTAATTGGTAGGAGTCCAAATGTTTTCTGATAATTAATGATCCAGGGAAAAAGAAGGAAATGATAATAACACTTTTAAACCATGACAGGTTAATATTTTATATGTTATTCATAAACTGCTGTTTTATGCAAAAATTTGAATATGCAATGAGCAAATAATAATTATGATACATGTAGTAAAAATGACATATCATGTTTTAATTATATTTGTCTAAAATTAAGGGCAATATAATATTCAATAGAACATTCAGCTTTTTTATGGTTTGTATTATGTTTAGATATGTTCTTTGTTGTTTTAATTCTTTTTTTCTTATCTTTTTTTTTTTTTTTTTGGGGGGGGGGGTGGGAGGGGGGATGTGGATGGGATGGGGAATTTGGTGGTAATTTCTTTGAATTAGAGCATATTGTTTTAGATTAGTACACTTAATGTTAATAAGTACACATTTGTATAATAAATGCGTACATGTAAGCCTTATCATTTTTACCATGACATTAAACTTTTCATGTTCTACTGGGGTGCCTGTTTGTGCCTGAAACAATCCATTGAAGGGCCTCTTAGGTCTTTCTGCACCAGTAAAAGCAGGAAAGTTGCCAAATGACCTAAACTGTGTTGGTGCAAAGTAAAACCCAACAAAAATCCCACATGTATATATACTTGCTTGATATTGATGAACAATACATTGTTTATTGGCTTGACTGACTTTGAATAAAATCAAGTAATTTTTTATAATATTTTATTTTCAGACCATTTACAACACCTCGGATACTTGGAGGTCAGACACGGACATACAGACATAATGATTCAGAATCTGAGGTATACAATAAGGCCTTACATCCAAATACTAGTAGTTATAATAACTTACAATGGTTTATTTACATTATGTAGGACTATTTCATGGCAGTAGAGATATAAGAACAAAATGATATATATATATATATGTGTTGACCTTATAATGTGAAAAAAATTTAGGGCAAGAGAGAACAAGAGTTATTGGTTATATATAGGTTATATGGTTCTGTATAAACAGTTGATTTTGCCACATAGCCCTATGACTTTGATTATATATTCATACAGGTTATGTGGTTCTGTATACATGAACTTGGCTTTTTGCTATGTATCCTAATGGGTTTGGTTATATATGTATATGCATACAGGTTATATGGTTCTGTATAAACAGTTGTTTTTGCTACATAGCCTTATGACTTAGTTATATATTCATATAGGTTATATGGTTGTATATAAACATTTGTTTGCTATATAGCCTAATGGGTTGTATAACTGTGACATATAATCTGTCACATCTTTTTAATAAAGTTTAGCCATTTTCACTTATACCCTACACTGGTTTAAATGTACTATACGTTAAGTTTTTCAAATCATTATTATACCCCTGAAACAAAGTGTGGGGGGGGGGGGTATATAGAAGTCACTCTGTGGTTGGTCGGTCAGTCCAGCCGTCCGTTGCATTTTCCTTGTCCAGATCATAACTTGAAGACTAATGGTTGGAATTCAATACAACTTCATATAATGGTCAAGCACATTGAGAGGAAGTGCAGTGCACAAGAACCATAACTCCATCTTCACTAATTACAGAGTTATTGCCCTTTGTTACTTTTCCTTGTCCGGAGCATAACTTGAAAACTACTGGTTGGAATTCAAAACAACTTCATACAATGGTCAAGCACAATAAGGGGAAGTGCAGTGCATAAGAACCATAACTCTATCTAAAGTAATTACAGAGTTATTGCCTTATGTTACTTTGTTATTGCTTTCTTTTGTTTGGACCATAACTTTAAGACTAATGGCTGGAATTCAATATAACTTCATACAATGGCCAAGCACATTGAGAGGAAGTGCAGTGCACAAGCACCATAACTCCATCTTGACTAATTACAGAGTTATTGCCCTTTGTTACTTTTCCTTGTCTTGAGCATAACTTGAAAACTACTGGTTGGAATTCAAAACAACTTCATACAATGGTCAAGCACAATGAGAGGAAGTGCAGTGCACAAGAACCATAACTCTATCTAAAGTAATAACAGAGTTATTGCCCTTTGTTCCTTTTCCTTGCCAGGTGCATAACTAAAAAATTATGTTTAGAATACAATAAAACTTCATTCAATGGTCAAGCGCAATGAGAGGAAGTGCAGTGCTCAAGAAGCGTAACTCTTTTGGGACTTATTGCAGAGTAATTCAAGAAAACTTCATCAGTGGTCAACCACATTGAAAGGAAATGCAATATACAAGAACCACAACTATCTTTAATTGCCCACAACCATAACTCAGTTCAGTTCTTCTGCAAGGTATTCTGTTACTAGTAACTTCCTCATTTCTGAAGCAGTCTTGCGGGGGTATTAATCACATTTAATGATAGTTCTAGTTTTATTTTATATGATGTCATTTTGTGTTTTAAAATTATTCTCATGGAAGCTATTGTTACAGGAATCTGATGAAGACGCAAATGCTGCAAAACGTGACAATTTTGTTGAAGATCCTGCAGTGCTTAGACAAAGGGCTGAGGAAAGGGCAAGATACAAAGCTGGGAGGGCAAAACCCAGTCAGGCTCCAAAGACTCATGATGTCAAAGGTGGACCTAAAGGTCAAGGTCAAAGCTCAGAGGTGTTGCATAATAGAAAATGGAAAACTCAGCATAAAGGTGACTTTAGAAGAGCTGCAGCTGATAGAAAAAGAAAAGTTTAATTTCTATAGCATTAACATATCACACCTTACTATGAAGAAAGACAGCAGCGAAATATTAACTCTTGACCAACTTGTGCCAGATTTAACCTACTTTGAATTTTTGGAACAGTCAATTTAAAGTTTAGGGGATTTCAATATCAAAGTACAGAAATAAGTTACCAACAGTATAGAGCCTGTGCAGAGTGCATGTAAGTTCATGCTGGCCTGGCTTTATACTGAGGTCACAATCTAATTACTTCAAGCAGATTAATGACTGATCTTTTATCTGTACAAATGAATGGATATGATCATAATAAAGAATTTAGGTTCCTATAGTCATAAATACAGCAGTAAGCAGTAGAATAACAGTGCATTTAATTCTTAACTTTCCATCTTTGAATCTATTGAAATGTAGTTCAATTTTACTGTGTTAATGTTCTCTCCAAAATCAGTCTTCTTACTATTTATATAAATGTTCTGTTAAAGCATTATATTTTAAGAGTATTATTTTATCTACACGTGTTACTAAAGATAACCTAATCATTGGCTTGTTTCTATTTAATGAAGTATGGTATCATAATAATAAAAGTTGAAAATATTTCTGTCTGTTTTGTTCATTCAAATTATTGATTGGTGCCTTTTTAAAACTGAAACAAAATATGTATTATGATTTGACTATGATTGATTGATTGATCAATCAATTGATCGATCTATTGATTGATTGATTGATTGATTCATTCATTGGAATCTCCCTATACATTATTATGTATCTTAATCACCTTTGAAATACTCTTACAATTAAAGAAATACTTTATACAATACTGAGGTCCTCATTGCATTATGGTGACCATTCATTCAGGCCACAAACATTTATTGTGGTAATAATGAGATACATTCCACGTCTTTTCTTCCATTTTAATACATAAATTTGGATGGTAGTTTATACATCACTATATGTTTTGGCATAAACTTTTTAAAAAATGTTTAGAGGTAAACTATGACTTCTTAATACTATTTAAGAGCACGTCTGGTCACTTAATTTGTAGCATTGTCTATGGTCGGCTAATAACACTACAAATTTATTTTACTGGCCATCATTATGGGCTGCTATTTCTAAATACATGTATATAGTTACATTCAAATTGCTTCCTCGCGTGAATTTAAGTTTTTAAAAGATATAGCATACATGTATTTATATAAAGTAGGGATTGTGATTTTTATTTTTTGTTTTTAAGGATACATATTTCTATCTTTGTTACAATAAATTGTTTATATTTAGGAAATTCTCTTCATGTTGTTGACAAGTTGTCAGTTTACTGTTACTGTACTTGTCAGCCTATCTGTTACTAAATCTTTTGACACAAGTAAATAATACATTTCTATATTTAGCAGATTGGCAAGAATTATATAAATGATTGTATTATTTCTAAATTGGTTGAATAATAGTTGCCGAACAATTCTGTGACCATAGGAATCTGCTTCAACAGTTATTTTATACTAGTATATGATTTAACGATTTATGATTTCTATGCTCAAGTTATGTGCTAAACGTATACGGGACATGTGAGCAAAATGCTTATAATCATGCACGAGGTTTTGAATTGTATAACTATCTTGTATTTATGAAAAAGTTTAAAAAACAGGATATGATGCATTTGTATGGTATAATGCATTTGTATGGTATACACGTGTATTTGTAAATTTCAGATGCTATGTGTTTAACATATAGCTATTTTATTTCTGAAATAAATATGTTAATGTGTACATAATTCCTAGGTATATGCTAGTCTGCATAAGGACTCCACTGACTAAATAAATAGCGTTTGAAGATCGCTTTTAAGTCCAATAGGGCTAAGATTAATATCGATTTTTTTTACTTAATTCTGCATATATTTCTTTATTATCTTTTTTCAAATGTTTTTTTTTCCGTTTTAAGCAGTACAATTTGATTGATATAAGATTTTAAAATGTTATGTTTGTAGACTTAAGGACCTTAGTGGAGCCCCTTTACATGGAGTATATTTTAAAGTCATAGTTAAAGTCAAATTTGATATAATAGTGTCGTATTTATATATTATAAGATAGATGTTCCTGACACTGTATCTTATGAGATTCTAGACTTTAAAATAATTTTTACATGTTTTAAACATGTTTTTATGATATACAGGTGTCAGTTTTAAATCTCCTCAAACTTTTTAAGGTAAAATTTAAACGAAGATGGTCTGTAAATTGTAGCCCAGAAAAATTGTAAAAGATGTGACAACGTTATTTTAATCGTGACAAAATTATGCTAATTTGGTGAAAATACTTCTCTAATTTGAATAAAGAATAAAGTAAAACTAAAATGAACAATCTATTTTGTTTTATTTTATTTGAATTTATATGAAAAACATAACAAAATTATAATATAAGTAAAATATGTGGAAATGTAAAATATTACAACAGATGGTTTGATAGGAGGTTTAATCAAAATTTTTTCTCTTCAATTTTAATATTGATGGTCTCAAATCTTTTTTTTTTTGTATACAGAAAAAATAACAGATTATTGAGGTAACGGCTAGCTTTCGAAACCTGACGGATGATAGACACTCGTGCCGAAATTACATTTCAACGAGGCACCTGTATGCATTCTTTCACACTACCGCCGAAAGCTACATTACAATATATAGACAGCTGATGGTTATAATTTCAAATTTAGTAAAACGTTAAATTGCGATTCTGCCGACGTTCATTTGATTATAATTTTGTAATAGTTGGGAAAAGGATTGAAACTATTGTTTTAAATACCAATACATTCCAAGAACAAATTCCTGAATTCTTGATTTAATAATTAAATGTATCTATATGCAAAATCTTGTATCACTTGTAATCCTTATGAATACTGCCTTTTGCAATATCAGTTTCATCGTATTTGTCAGAAAGTAGAAAAAAACCCAGCTGTAATGTAAAACTTGCTGACTGTAAAACAACAACTCTTAATGAAAGGAACACCTGGAGAAGTGAATGTATTACAAAAATAATCTATGCTTATGTACAAATTGTAGCATATAACACAAAAAGATCCCTCTATATTGGCCCTATCTATGCTATAGTTATATATATGTATATATAAATTAACAAGAATGACAAGTATCATAAATAAACATAACTGAACACCGACCGGTCGGATGTTCCAATACCTTACATTAGATTATTAACATTCCCGCTTAAATGGAAAATTTGGCAAGAATTTAGGAAATTAAGAAAACAGGACATTTTTTTCATGCCCAAATACCACTCTGGCGTTTTAATCAATCAAATAAAAGTAATAAGCCACCTTTCGCGACACTAATAGCCGACAAGAATTAAGCTAAGAACGGATAATCTTGGCATAATCCATATTTAAGGTTCGTGATTCTGTAAATTACATGTATGTAGCTTCCATACTACCTGTAAGAGCACACGTGTACATAAACAAATGTGTAGTTCTTTTACTGAAGTACAAAGTATAGAACACGACATTAAAGCCTGTTTGGCCGCATGTAGATCCGCGGCTTTTTTGTAGGTCTACGTTGATGTATAAATTACATTGCGCATCGATTTTCTGTAATTTTACATTATATAAATACTTAACATTTTAAGATGACATCTGGTATTACAAAAAAAGTCAACGTTAAAGTGAAAGTTAATCTGAATAATTAGTTATCATTCCTTGGTGGCATTTATAGTTGTACGTAAATATTGGTTAATGATAGTGTACATGAAAATATCTCAGGTACACCAGTGGTCAGTGCCGCATTACATTTCTCACCTCTGCAGTACAATAATTAAATTGTTTATATTAATGAAAGTGGCAAATCTGAACCTTACTTTATTACAACCTAACCATGGTACATTTTTATATGAGTTTCAAAGACATTTTAATGTACAAAATGGGTGCTTGTGATAAATGGAGTAGGTAAACGACATACATATAATTGCACGTTTTCCCACCACCATTGCAGATTGTTCAACATAACAGTGTCCTGTGTACGCATGCACAGGTGGCAGTATCAGTGTTTGGACACTCAACCCCTATCTGCCCCTGGACCCCTACTACAACCCTGAAAAAAAAATTCAACACTTATAGGCTTACTATAAGGTACCAAATACAAAACCACCGATGAAATTATATAAAACAAGAGGGCCATGATGGCCCTAGATCGCTCACCTGAATTATCAAACTCATCCAAACAATTACCTAGACAAGCATTCTGACCAAGTCTCATGACAGGTGAGTCAAAAATGTGACCACTACAGTGTTAACAAGGATTATCCATATTTGAGCAGTGCGACCTAGTTTTTTACCCAGGTGACACATATTCAAACTTGACCTAGAAATCATCAAAACAAACTTTCAGACCAATTTCCAGGATACTTGGATCAAAACAGTAGCAACTAGAGTTGTTAACAAGATTTTTTCTATTTTTAGCTCCGGTGACCTAGTTTCACATGCGATTTCGAACTCATCCAAGCAATTACCTAGACAAACATCCTGACCAAGTTTGATGATAATTGAGTCGAAAATGTGACCACTAGAATGTTAACAAGGTTTTTCCATATTGGGCGGTGTGACCTAGTTTTTCATCCAAGATGACCATGTTCGATCTTGACTTAGAAATCATCAAAACAAACTTTCAGACCAATTAACAGAATATTTGGATCACAACAGTAGCCACTAGAGTGTTAACAAGATTTTTTCTATTTTTAGCTCCTGTGACCTAGTTTTTCATCCGAAAATGTCCCATGTTCGATTTATTCCCAGCAATGACCTAGACAAGTTTCCTGACCAAGTTTGATGACAATTGAGTCAAAATTGTGACCACTAGAGTGTTAACAAGGTTTTTCTATTTTTAGCTCCTGTTGACCTAGTTTTTCATCCGAGATGACCATGTTCGAACTCATCCGAGCTATCACCTAGACAAGCATCTTGATCAAGTTTGATGATGATTGATGCAAAAATGTGACCGCTAAAGTGTTAACAAGGTTTTTCTATTTTTAGCTCTGGTGACCTACTTTTTCATCCGAGATGACCCATGTTCGAACTCATCCAAGCTATCAACTAGATAAGCATCCTGACCAAGTTTGATGATGATTGATGCAAAAATGTGACCACTAGAGTGTTCACAAGGTTTTTCTATTTATAGCTCCGGTGACCTAGTTTTTCATCCGAGATGACCCATATTCGAACTCATCCGAGCTATTATCTAAACAAGCATCCTGACAAAGTTTGATGATGATTGGGTCAAAAAATGTGACCACTAGAGTGTTCACAAGGTTTTTCTATTTTTAGCTCCTGTGACCTAGTTTTTCATCAGAGATGACCCATGTTCGAACTCATCCAAGCAATTGACTAGACAAGCATTCTGACCAAGTTTGATTGATGATTGGTTCAAAAATGTGACCACTAGAGTGTTCACAAGGTTTTTCTATTTATAGCTCCTGTGACCTACTTTTTCATCCGAGATGACCCATGTTCGAACTCATCCAAGCTATCACCTAGACAAACATCCTGACCAAGTTTGATGATGATTGGGTCAAAAAATGTGACCTCTAGAGTGTTCACAAGGTTTTATCTATTTTAGCTCTTGTGACCTAGTTTTCATCCGAGATGACCCATGTTCGAACTCATCCGAGCTTTCAACTAGATAAGCATCCTGACCAAGTTTGATGATGATTGAGGCAAAAATGCGACCGCTAGAGTGTTCACAAGTAATTGTGGACGGCCGGACGGACGACGGACGACGGACGACGGACATTCACCGATCCTAAAAGCTCACCCTGAGCAAGCTCAGGTGAGCTAAAAAAAACTCCACTATCAAATTTATAGTTATAGGGGTTGGGTGTCCAAACACTGATACTGCCACCTGTGTACGCATGCTGAGAAATATTTTTAAAAAAAATATAAATAAATTTGTCAATAAACAAATGAAAGAATGTTTTTAACACATTGCTCGTAAAGATCGGATATTTCTCTTATTTTCCATTATTACTACTTTAGAATAATGTTAAATAAATATTTTGTTAGCTGAATCCTGAGTTATCAGTCAGAAATGTCACGTGTAACAACAATATGTTCTGCCAAGATTATCTATACCACGTAGAGCCTCCCCAACCATGTAAATCAACCATCCTTATTTCTGGGTCGTATACAGTTCTGAAAAATAATACAGAAACAGTTTTAGAATTTAAACGGAAGTATCTTGTCAAAGACAGCTAGATTAATTGTTAGATGTCATGAAATGTTTTTCAGGCGTGTTTTAAAATAAATTACCTGCTTCTTTTTGCAATTTCAGAGTGACATTTCAGTCAACACATAAAGAGAAGAAGTTACTTTTTTGTATTAATATTTAGGATTTCACATTCAGTAGTAATTATGTAAAGCACACATTTTATTTTAAAAGCTGTAATTCGTTTTAGGTTTCAATTTCATTTCAAGTCTTTATTTCGACAACTTAAAAAAGAATACTTTAAGCCCTTTTGCTATTCTGAAATAAATATACATATATACTTAAAACACAATGCAAGATTGTTCTTGAATTTCATTACGATCTAAACGAAACGTATGTGTTTCAAAGATCACATACGATATTCGTATTTTTAATCATTTTAGATTTGCAAGAACATAAAATGGAAAACAACATCAACCAAGCAAAAGCAACAAAAATCATTAAAGGTAATGTGTCATCTTTAACATGTTGACATTTTTATATTCTAAGATACATTTCAGAAAGGAAAAAAACTTTGTTGTTTTCATAAAAAAACATGCTTTTTAATATAGTCATTTATCCTAGTTATCGTCAGTAAATTATTTAAACAAACCTTATTTAAACAATAAAAGCTGTATACGAAAATGGTTGAAAATATTGGATTTTGTAGGCAAGATTTTCTTAAGCTATCAAAAATACTTGGAGAATTACAAAACAAATGTTCTTATTTGTTAAAGTTTTACGCCCAGGACAACAATGTTACACAATAATCGATTATCTAGACTTACAAAAATATTACATTGTCACAGAGCAGAACATAAAATACAAATCACAAATTTTAGCAAACAAGAACAAAGCTCTTTAGATGATTATAAACAACACATTAATTTTCTCGTGCAATAGTAAGGCTCTGGACGTTTTTATACGACCTCCAAACCAACATATTTCTTAAGCCACAGGGGCTTATAAGAAGTAGCTAAAATATATTACTAATATTGCAGATAATGATCGATAAACTTCACTTCCGGTTCATACACAGTGCTGAAATTAATGTTTGACTTCCGTCGTTACTTTTTTGTCATTAATTTAGATATAAACCAGACCAAAAAGTAGCTTTTGATAAGAATATGAGATTAAGCTGATTGTAATCATATTGATAACTAAAAACGAAAGAACTTTCAATTTTTAATACATTCGATGTTTCAGTGAAAACTGACTATTTATATTCCATCTTAAATATAATGTTAATGAATGTTTCATAAAATCAAGCTTGTTGTCGTGTTGAACTCTTTCGAAATACAATTTAATTACACTTTTATTAATTTAATAAAACAAGATGGCCAATAATGTAATAAGACTATGCTATAGTTTTAGATGCTCGGGCAATATGTAAATGGGCATAGTTTTTAATTATGTCGCACAAAAATAATATAATTGACATCTTAAACTGTTCAAACATTCAATACCTTTTCTTATCATTAAAAAATGAATTCATCAGTGTAAAGGTTTTGAAGCATACCTGTATATCCATTCAACATTATTGCCCCACCAGGAGTTGTGAAATACTGGCTCTCGTTTGTATCTTGCATTAAAAGTTATTTGTCTGTAAGTAAACCAATATATAATTATGGTAAAATATGAGACAAACCTTTATTAAACACTTTGTGTGCAATCAATAGCACTTACGTCAGACAAAATACTGCCAAAAACCATAACAAGTTTTAACAAACGATAGTAATACTTTAACCAGAATTTAAAAAAGTAAAGATTTCATTTTGACGTCAGTACTGTACACCGTCATAGCTCGTACAATACATATTCGCAATAACAATATATCATAGCTTTGTATAAGGTGTCCAAATATATATAGAGAGATCAGAAACGAACATTGACACCATAGCATAAAAGCGTATTGTTCTGTTATTGTTATACTAGTTTGATATATTTTGTATTGCTCCCTAATTTAATAATAGATAATACATAATCGATTGTTAAATGAAATTCATCTTCAATGTCAATAAAGTTACAAAGTTGTTCATGTACAGTTCTCATTTTGGTTTGTCTGCATATAGTTTTTAATCAATTGTTAAATGAAATTCATTTTCAATGTCAATAAAGTTACAATTGTTTTAAAGTTGTTCGTATACAGTTCTATTTTTCAACATGTCTGCAAGTTTGTATAGTCTATATACACTCTAGATAAAAAAACTCAAATATTCTAAACATTCTTTTAAGAACTAACTAGTACAATAATTCTTGATTGTATAAAGTTCTTGGTTTTCTTAGTTTCGGAATCGTAGTTTTATTTTTTTTATGCGTGATAAAAATATGTTCTTTGTAAGTTCGTAAGTGACGTTTTACTGAAGTAAAAAATGTTTATACAATAGAGGGTTAACAGTTTTATAGCAAGTGACCTGAAAAATGACACAGGCGTATCTAAGTAAATGTATATATCTGTCACTGAACTGAAATATCAAAGACAAAAGCTGAGGTTATATGGTGACATATTTTTATGTTATATAAGTACTGAGAATACCCAATATCAGTGTTACTTAATGGGAAGAGAAAATGTGTCTCAATGACCGAAATTAATTGTCGTTTGTCATGCACATATGCTTTATATAATCAAATACAGACGGCAATGACCGTGACTTAAATATAAACAACAACAAAAGGCAAAGAAAAAAGGGGGTGGTATATATAACTATAAAGTTTTTACATATGATGCTTAGTTTTTATGTTTGACACTGACTTTAACTTCATTCATGTATGTACTATTATACAAGACCAGTGTGACGTCTATTATTATTGACATTATTTGGCTCCAGATACCTTAAGCAATGGAAAGTACATTTTTGATTGTTATCATTTACATTTCCTTTCAGCATAAATACAAATAAAACTTACTGTTACATCAAACAGTCTGTTTTCTTGGTGTTTTTAAAGATAAAGAAGAACACTAATAACCAAAATATCCAAATGACGTCACACAAGTTCCATTAGTAATATACGCTCCAGGAAATCTAAAACCATATTCGGACAGTTTCAGGACAGTATCCAAGAACTTTATTCGCATGTATGTTAATTGGTCTGATTTTAAATTTGTTAATGATTGTTTTATTTATACGTTAATGGACTTGATTATGTTAGCAGTAGAACTAATCAATCTCAAAGAAAAGTACAGGATTTGAAAGTAAAATGGAATAATGATTTTTAACTGGTACATTTTTTTCGCTTTGCTATTAAAATCATAGCTGCACTTTGCCTTTCTAAGAAAGGCAAAGTGCAGCTATGAATTTAATAGCAAAGCAAAAAAAATGTACCAGTTAAAAATTTAAGATTCGAATCTGCTTTAAATTTGCAGACGACAGCAAGTGTGCAGACGTTACAATAAATTAACGTAATGGCGTCATTTTAACGCCTATCTTATATGAATACGCTGAAGAACTGTTCATATTGTATACTAATTGATGGATTGACAGCGTTTGTTATCGTTAATTGGTAGTCAATGTCAAAAATACTAGACGTGTCAGTCAGTGCGTTTACCCTCATATATTCGTGAGCATAACATACATAATATATAAAATTAAACACTCCAAAACATTACAACCCATTCGTAAACTTAAGACATTTATTTTCAACAAAATAAAGGTCATTCTGGATGAAATAGATAAAGACACAACTGGAACGGAAACTATCAAACAACAACAATAATAATTATAATAATAATGAACACTAGAAACAACAACACATCAAAAACTAAAACAAAAACAACAAAAAACGAACAAAAACAAAAAAACACACCAAAAAACACACACACAAATAACATATTTACAAAAATCGGAATGATTTTTTTATTCCGGTAGGTACAATCGATCAATGGTTATTTATATCATAGAAAGTTATAAAGTACTTGTTATCCTACCATGTAACTAGTCTAATGATCTTGTATGAACAAATATTTTCCCTAAAAATACTTTATTGTCAATATTATTTTCGTTCGATATTGACATTTATACTCGTGCTTTTATGAAATATATAGTAGAAGGCTCATAAAATGATGATTCAAATTTCTATGTTTTTGATATAAAAAGATAAAAAAGAAAATCACGTGTACAAATTCGTGTTAACATTGGTCCCAGATGGTTCGACTTTTTGTTAAGATTACTGTTTTTCTCTCTCTAAAGCATATTAAACTCTTAACCTCCTGAATTTCTTACATGGACTTCTCGAGTTTTTTTAGTCCATTATCAATTTTTGTGATATCAAGATGAATATTGAAAGTTTGTCAGCCAATAGTATAGAGCCTCGTCGGACTGTATGACTATGTACGCTAGCCTGGCTCTATACTGATGACAAACTTTATACTTGATAAGGATAATCTATTTCCTATCCAACAGCAAAGGGAGCAAAGGTTAATTGGCAAAAAAACTGTATAATTTCTTTGTTTTCATAATCTTATGACATGAGTTATGAAAAAATTCTTCAGTTAAAGCTATCAGACACATTAAGGTACAAGAATTTTTTTATTTCATGTTTTTACATTGACCCTAACAAAATATCCAAATACTATTTTATTGATGAAATTGCGCTTGCACCACAAGCTGTATTGGACTTTTAGTAAAATTGTCTACATAGGACACAAACGCATATCAACCCACCTGTCCCGTATTTCTTATGCTACTCAACATTTTTGTAAGACTTGGTAACTATGTCATTTTCCTAATTAACGATGTATAAAATGCCTTTGTTTTGACCATAAAAATAATCATAACTCTGTGGTAACTTGTATGATGTAAAAAAATGGACGATATCTACCCAAAAAAGTACTGCAGTATAAGTTTTGAAAACCTTCTTTCAAATATTATCAGATATTTTATAACACCACGCCATTTTCAGAAAGTAGTATGGACAGAAATAAATCTAAATTACACCATGCTGGAACTGTTATCTATCATTTCTTTGATTTCATGAATTCTTATTCTGTTACTTTCATAAAATATTAACCCATCTGTAATAAAAGTAGTATCAACCAATACATTCATAAAAACTAAAAAAAAAAATATTTATTCATTGTGCGAACAGGCAGTCAAAAGATTGACTCCTTATGTTGAAACTCATATAACAACGACATATATGTCAATGTTTTTTTCTTCTTTTTTTTCGCCACTGATCAGTTGGAAATCAAAGATTGTTTCAGTGTGTTTGATTCAATATACAGTGCCAAACATAATAGAACTTCTTATGAAATGATAACTTAACATATACTCACATCATACACAATCTTGGTTTGGTCTCCAGGTAGACGGTGTAATCCTGCCAACGTGCACGGGAACTTGGGCACACGTGATTATCATTCACAATAGTAATGTTGATTGGTACTGAAGCAGACACAAAAACGGTGTTGTAGTACAAACAAAGAATAAAATATCCAACTGTTAAAAAATGTCCTAGGTGCATTTTCATTTTCCAGGCGTCCGCTGCTTTTTTTGTTTAAAACAAATTATTCCTAGGTTACCGTTGATGGTTTTAATGCATTTCAACTGCTAAAACAACTGATTCAGTCTGTTAGTTTTGCTCTGTTAATTTGTCACTTTATGTCGTCTGCGGTAAAATAAGAAAACATGTGTGCAGTAGAAGGCCTTTTACGGGACGTTACCGTATGTGTGTACTTGCAGTGTACCTTACGCCAACTCGCTTGTCCTAGAGGACGGTATTTCACGCGTCAGTACACTAAGGCAACTTATTTTAATTAAAATATCGCTTTCGTGTCATGTATATTATGGCAACTGTTGTTCAGTCTGTCAGATGTTTGCTGCTGGCTATGTAGTTAGGTCAAATGTCATATTACTGTTTTGGTGGTCACACATAGAAGTACATTGTTTAATAACCTCATTTGTGTTTTTATCATATACATGTATATATTCTGCAACAGATATGCTTGCATTTCATTGCCAATTGCGGCCAAACGGAAATAAATTATATATTGCAATTTTAAAAATCCCGAATTAAAGCTAAGACAACAGTTGATATTACATGTGTGGGTTCCTCTGGTAATACTGATGACCACAGTAGATGGATTGTACTCCTTAGAGCAAGGCTTGCTGTATTTGTAAACTCTTTTAAAAACGGCGGTCACATCCAATCAAAGTCCACCATGACAAAGACAATACTATTTACTTAATAACAGTGGTACAATTTCATTTGATTCATTTTCGGCTTTTTTTTTAAATATATATGCATATAATACTAAACACCATATGCAAATAATTGTATAAGTTTTTAAGCAGATCAAAAGAATGATCGAATATTGTTTAAACAGAAGGCTTTAAAATATACGTTAATTGTAAAATATTTTGCACCGAATATATGATCTTGATATTTGATACATCAAAATGAAATTGGAATTGAAGAAAAAAGAAAGATAATTTACAATATTGAAATTAAACTAGTATACAATTTTACCGTGATGCAACATTACTGTCAAGAAACTTCTAAACAATTTGTGATTTGTAAGCATAGTAGGCTTCGAATTTGCTCAAATATGAGAGCAGTTATTTTTCTCCAGTTTGCCATAATTCCGTTTACTGTTTTGTTTTAAGTAAACGACACTGTAAAGACATTGAGGTGCCTTTGGACACGAGAGGGCACCTGAGCAGAACCACCACATTCCGTAACTAACACGGATAACTTCCTTAAACGAAAGAATTCAAAGTCCTTGGCGGGATTTGAACCGTCACTGATGAGCGCAAGTAATTATTTAGATTAAGCGGCTTTACTTCACCACCTTAGAATGTGGAAAGTCGTCATTTGACATAGTTGTTGCTACTGTTACAGAAAACGTTCCGACAGAAACAACAACAATTATATAAAATAATTTGCTTTGTCAAGGGAGAACTGTAGATTTATAACAATTCAGTTTGAGTAAGAAAGTTTTCTCCCTTGTACAAGATAATTTGATATACGAAAATTCTTACCCCCTCCCTGCTTTGTCCAATAGTCATCTTTAGGCTTTGGTTTAGGCGTTGTTGTGGTCGTTGTAGTAGTTGTTGTTGTCGTGGTTGCCTTTGTAGTCGTCGTTGCTTCTGTAGTCGTTGTTGTGGGCAAAAGTTTTAACGTCGTTCTACGCGCAGTAGATGTTTGTGCCTGCAACATACGTGACATCTTTGTTGTCTGAACAGGAAAATAATCGATTACTCCCCTTTCTGGTACGCTGCCTGGTACTGAATTGTAGCGATCGTCTTGATGTAGTCTTTGGTCATCTAATACAACACTTAATGAATCATCAAACACCGGAACTCCACCACCCTTTTTGTCCATGTACATCGGTTTATTATATGCAGAAGTCTGAGCAATGCTGGTGCGAGTTGGTGATAATGCCCGTGCTGCGGATGATGATATTTGATTGTTTGAACTCATTACTTGTGGTAGTCTTCTATTCTCCACATTTGCGGGACCTTGGTGAGTAGAAGAAACTCGACGGCTTGCGGTAGTAGGACGCGTTTGCTGTCTTGAATAAGTTATTGACTGTTGAGTTCTTGGTTTAGCACTTATAGTAGATTTTGTTGGTTTTGCCTGCATTGTCTGTCTGTTTTTATGATATTGCTGAGTAGATATACCATACGCAACAATAGACCCGTTAGGTAGAACTTTAAATCTTGATTGTTGCGGCGTGTTAGCTTCTATGATATCGCTTGCCCGTGCAATTTTCGCATTCGAAGTTGTTCCGTGGCCATGGTCAACTGCATAAAGTGCAATGGCACCGCTTTCATACACGTCAAAGGGTGCTGTAGGTAATGGAACATTACGGGTAGCGGATGCATCATACATGCCAGCTTCTTCATGTAGACCTTTGTCCCCTACCAAATGTGATCTTCTAGCCATTGATGAACTTAATGTACTCGATCGAGCACGTGCTCTGTTTCTTGAATCTAAATTGCTTATAGCTCCAGCCCTTGTCGGTCTTTCATTTTGATTTCCTCTAGTAGTTTGTACATTTGAGAAATGTGTGCTGCTTGTTGGTCTGGTATTAACTGACCGGTCTTGACTTGAACGCCCTTGTGCAATCCTCTTTGGACTACTTTTTACTGTGTATCTTTTTGTTTCTCTAGTTGGAAACACCGGTCTAGGATTTAGTATCGTTGGGGACACAATAGCTTGATGATACCAGTTTTGGCCATTCATTCGTTTATCAGCTGCCACCACAGCTCGTATTGTATCAAACACTGACAGTTTCCGGGGTCTGCTCGTAGTTGGTGGACTTATTGTTGTATAAAGAGACATTGATTTCTTTGGAGGAGGTTTATGAGTTCTTTGTAAAAGTGTTCCATGATTTAAATCCGTGTAACGGCTATAGCAAGTTGTACCTGAAAGATAAACATTTCTTTTAATAGGCATTGATTTTTTGGTACTTTTTAATAATAATATTATACACGACATATAAAATTGAATTTGACAATTATGAAAAATGGAGTGTCTGTTAAACAATTTATATAATAAATAATAACGTTGATAGTATTAAGTATCAGACATAACAACAAATCATGAAATAAATACATATGGATGTTGTTAGCATGTGTTAGATACATGATTTGATAAAACTTATTTATAAAGGTGATTATAAAATGTTCTAGGACAAAATGTTGCTTTTTCATCAAATTAATTTTTTTTTTTAATCCGAAAGATTCATTTCTCTTGTTCTTATCAATATATGTAATTCTTATGGAAAATGTGCCCATTGTAGAGCAGTCCATTTTAAGACTACATATTTATGAATATCTGAACAATGTTCAGTCTCAAAAATTATCATACAAAATCTTGAGCTTAACTATTTCAATGCTACGTTATACAATAAACAAAAACAAAAATGATGATCTATTGAATGAATGCCAATGCAAAAAAAACGAATGTGCATAAAATAAATCGCTTTATTATGGCTTTCTTTTTCATTCTTGACACATTCTGCGTTTTTATTATGAAAAAAAAGTAAAATAACATGTTTCAGGAAATAAATGTGCAATAAATGTGCAGTAAATTGCACAACATGCACAAAAACTGTGTAGTAATTAAAGGTCCCGAACTGTCATCAAGACGAGTGCATATTTACGCCATAACAAATACACGTCACAATAACAATTTATACAATATTGAATTGTTAACATAGACTTACAACTGCGGAAAATGTAAAATATAAATGTCAAATAAAAAAGCTTGTGTAGTCAGTCAGTGCAAATTGTTGCTGAAACTTCTTCCTCTTTAAAGATCCTTATATTTTCATCCACACGATACCTTACATAAAGTAAATAATACATTTTATATTCCTTCAATGGTACTTTTTAACATGTTTTCTTTTACTTTGCTCTTAACGTGAATATAATAATATAAAAAAAACAATTTAAATACATTTTTTGTTTATTTTAGGATAACTTTCGATTGATTCTTGAAACAACATTTCATCGGTTTTGAGGAAGACCCTTGGTCGAAACGTTTATTGAAATGCAAGTCTTTCTTATGTTGATACAATTTTAACAATTGCCTTCAGCTCATGTGTAAATAGAACTGATGCGTATTACTACATGTATTAACACAACAATTCAAATATGTTATATCTTGCAATGCCAAAATGACAAGCAAGTATTTAATGAACCATATATGACTCCAATATACATGTACATATCGTTATATATATATATATAGACTAGAAAATAACGGACACACTGACATTATATACAATGTATCAGTTCATTAATCACATGAGTCATACTATGATGTTTAAACTGATATTTTAAAAGTCTCTTACTTCTGAAGAGCCCTGTTAAGACCTCCCACGAGCATTATTTAAATTGTATGTTCTTTCTGAATAATTGATTTTCAGAACGCTCATTGTAGGAATAAGCTGCTACATTTGAGTTTTAATTCAGTACTGTAAGCAACAAAATGTAGGTGTTACTAGGGATATGAAAAGCAACAAAATGTAGATTGTATATGCTACACTCAAGTTTAACATAATCAAATTGTGGGTATTATTTGCTACATTTATGTTATTAGAAATGAACAAAATATAGGTAGTATATGCCATACTCAAATGCAATACACAAACTTTAGACATCTGCAACTCATCTCTCGCATTAGAACTGTGTCTTGTGTACTTTTCTCAATGTGTGTTAATAAGCCGACAAGGGAAACAATCAAGGGGCAGCAATGTGACTACAGTGGACTTTCACAGATTCGTCCCTGATTTTGCTGACAACATTGTTTCTTGTAGCACAGCGCTAACAAGACATAAAATCAAAGACATATTACCTTGCTCCTCTTGACAAATAGATTTGGTTCAACACTAATGCAACAAAGACGAAGTAAGTTCATGCAAGGACAGATCTAGACCATCCTGTCTTAAACAGTGCAATAGTAAAGCACAATGTGTTTGTGTATATTGGCAGTATAAACACCAACGAAGGTAAGTTAGTAAGACTTTATTTACTGAGGCTATACATTTGGTTACCAAATCGTCCATGTTGGCCGCATACTTGAATACTCCCGATCTTCTGGTCAAACATGTACCTCCACAATAATTATATCTCACAGAAAAAAATCAAACGTAGAAGATGGTGTTGGATCAGTTATTTTCTCCGAATGGAAGACACTGCTATCCCCAAAATTATATGCACATCATACAATGATAAGAAGAATGGTGGAAAAAAAAGAACAACAAAGATATGCAGCTAGGTCTAGTGTTTAGGCAAATATACACATTAACAGAGGGGTCGAAAGGGAAACTGCTTATAGCAAACATGAAAAAAGATACAAGATAAATTATATTTTTGAACACACGCAGTATAAAGGGTATATATTAGTACCGCTACCTGACTGGTATATTTTATGGTTTCTGTAGTATCTCAAATAGGGATGCATTAATTACGAGATAAAATGACAATGAACACAGTAGGTAAACTACTACAAGGAAGATTTAATATATTAAATGCCCATCTGACCACAATTTTATAATGGTCTGACATGGTTAGTATGCATTCAATAGTTGAATTAAAACATTTGGTTTTGTATTACTCTGTACTTGTATAAAAATATCGTTTTGGTTTCTCTAACAAAATGGTCAAAGATATGTCAATTGATATAAACTTACAACCACAGGACTTGACCTTTTGTCATCTGTTTGTATATTAACAATCATGACTAGCCATTGGAAATGTTATGCTTAAAGCGCACACGACAGATTGTCAGTTACATCTTTGTAGTTGTGACAATAATTTATGAATAAACATCCAAACATGCTGAAAGTTGTGAATTTGTCCAAATATTGTTATTATGAAAGCTGAAAGTGTATTATTTATGTGGCATCACAAAATGACCTAAACACCGAACAAACTATGTTAACAAGACTTTTTATTACATTGGTGCAAAGATTTGGAATAGAATACCATATAATACCCGTTCTATCAATTCTCAGACATCTTTTTAAAATAGTATAAAAAAAACTTTCTTGCAGATCAAATAAATATCTTCATAACTCTGTCATTATTTTATAATACTTGTACTTACAATGCTTGTATATTTGTTAAAATATTTGTAAATGTAAATTTAACAATATTTTTTCAAAGAAGCGTTTGTAATAGGGCAAAGGCTAACTGGAATAGTTGTTATTGTTTATGATGTTTTGTGTTTGTGCTTCTATATATTGTTTAGAAGGCCACAATTAAAATTTAGATGTATAATTTGTTTTCTACGATGGTATGCCTTCATGTGTTGTCCTTTAAATAAATATATTATTATTTCTTTTTTCTATATAATTCATAGACTGATACATATTGGCTTTCAATGTATTTCAAATATAACATTACAATAGAGCATGTAAAGGACACATATATATTGTTGGTGCTTTGTTAAGGTTTATCTTGGTTTCGTTTAAAAATATTATACATTTACATGCTAGTATATTATTAGCTAATTTAGATATTTGAAAGGTTAAATAGTTGAATACAAACTGTTGTTTTTTTTGTAGTTACAGTAAATTATGTATGTTTTTTTACAGGTATTTATTTCCAAATGTATATATAATCTAAAGCGTCAATCGATGAACATGTATACTATTTATGTCAATAAAATATTTGACTTTACTTATTATATATATATAGTTCATGCAAAGTCTCAATTATCTTATTCATAACACTGCACAATTACCTGTGACTGTCTATCATTTTTGTATTTGTCTGATGTTTTTGTATTGTAAATATGCAACATTGGATACATATTAAATAAAGCAAAAAAATTGCTAATATTGATTTAACAAAAAAAGAAAAAATTTTTTTTTCAGAAGCAGTGTATATAAATAATATAAACATTATGATTATCCAATTAAAATCGATGTTACATATGTTTAGATTCATTTGTGGTATTGCCGACGGATGTGAATCTATCAAAATAAAAATCTTGTCTTTAATGAGTTTTTTTACGACCTCTAAAATAATTTTATTGATATCATTACAAATGCCAAAAACTATTTACACCTTTCATCATATAGACAAGATTTACCGCCATGCAAGTAAAATTAATATATTGGAATATGTCTCGACGGGCAACCGCAAAATTCGCATTTTTATATTTAGAAAGAAAAAAACCCAACCAACAACGAAATATCAGATATGAAGCAGAGAAAAGTAATCAAACAAACAATCTTGATAAACATATAAGTGATATCAAACGACAGCGTTAGACAGCGTTTTAATTACATGTACTATGTTGCAATGATGAAAGAAAAAGCTTGTTATATTAGAGAAAAAAAAAACATTCGTCGCATCAACTTGCACTTTGTGGTCAATTACAGGTCAGTCGGAAACACCAAAACACAGTCCTATCTAAATATAGGAAATACGTTAATATAAAGTGTAGAGTGATACGTTATGTTTAAAACACATATGACAGTCCCGACAGCTGCTTTGTTTAAGTTATGGGGAAAAAAGTTGGTTGTAAATTCACATAAACTTACATCCAAATACACCTCCGTGTCTTGTAATTAATTAAAATATAAAACAACATGGCAGCAAATATTTACATCATAAATTAATTAAAAATTCTAATTTGGTAATGGCCTATCTAATTGTTTAAACCTGCGGACGTAATAATATACATGTATTATATTTTAGAGATGAAAGCATGTTAATTGTATAAATTGTTGAAAAGACATTAACATTGAGAATTATATTGTGCTGATAAACAGATGGGGCTTAAGCAGTCTGATTAAAATCAGCTTCTATATAACGATACTCGATCATTAGGATCTGACGGGCACCAATAGGAGGTCACATTCTCGTTAAGAATAGTTTGACTGCATGACTAATCAAAGCACAGAAGG